TAATTTTTTTTATGGTAATCCCTAATATTAAAGGCAACATTCAATTACCAAAACCACCAATTATACTAGGCATTACCATAAAAAAAATTATTAAAATTGCATGAGCTGTAATAATACTATTATACAACTGACCATTTCCTAACAATAAACCAGGTTTACTCAACTCCATACGAATCAACATAGATAGAGCAGAACCAACCATACCACACCAAAGACCAAAAATTAAATCTAAAGTACCAATATCCTTATGATTAGTAGACTCAAATCAATAAGAAACACCACTATAATACTTTTTAACATTATTATTAAGAACAATAGTAGATATTCATCTTTAGGACCTAAACCCAACATATTATATTATACTAAATCTACCTATAGATTTTCCCAAAAATAAGACTCATTCACTCCCGCTCATTTCGTGGTTTGTTTGTTATTGGGCCAAATACGAATAAAAGTGAAAAAGCCAAAGAGACACAGTGAGAGGTACTAAAGACCACCTACAGGGTATGAGCCCATTAGACTTATTTATCCTATCTCACTAAACAAATAAAAACAACAAAAACACAATAAATACTACAGAATTAATATAAGAACTTATATACTTTACACTACCACTTCCTAACACAGAGAATAAACTTAAGGCCTTTAGACTTAAAGAATTTAAAAACATATCAACCGTCTTTATATTAATATATGGTAAAATACATTGAGAAACACGAGGAAAATAATCACCTAAAAATTTAAAAGCTAGCTCATATGAAACAAATTTAAATCTAACATAAAAACACAAAAAAGCCAAACACAAATAAATTAAAGGAGTATAAAAATCTAAATATAAAAAAAAGTTGGAATACAAAGTATATTAATATTGAGTCATCACATAAAACAAATAGATATAAAAACCAAAACTAAGCTAACAAAATTCATAATTAATCTATCTCTATAATGAAAAACAGGATTAGTAGATGTATTAAATAAACTAGATCACAAACGATAACTATAACAAAACGTTAAAAACACAGAAACAAAAAACATAATAGCAAAGAACACAGAATAAGTATTTAAAAAAAACAACTCTAAAATTATATCCTTTCTTACTATACCACTAGAAAAAATTAAACCACACAAACAAAACAAAGTTACTAACAACTGTAATTGAATAAAATGTGGTAAAGAACCTATACCATTATAATTACGACTATCCTGCTGACCAAAAGAACAATGAATAATATAACCTACTTGTATAAATAAACATCTTTTAAATAAAGCATGACTAACTAAATGAACAAATGAAATAAAACTTAAACCTAACCCCAATGTCAACATTGAAAAACCCATTTGTGATAAAGTTCTAGAGCTACAACTTTCTTTAAATCAGCTTCAACCAAAGCTGAGATAGAACTAAAAAACATAGTAAATAAACCAATTCAACACAAAATACTTTGAACTTGAACAGATAAATTAATAAGATTAAAATTTATTAACAAAATTAAACCCGCAGTAACCAATGTCCTCTATGTACTAACGAACTTACAGGAGTAGGTGCACTTATTGCTTTAGGCAATCAACTTCTAAATGGAAATTGAGCACTTTTAGTAAAAGCAGCCAAAAGCAAAAATAAAATAGAATAAGAACTAACTAAAGAAAAACTAAAAAAATAATAACCACTAAAAAATGCTATAGCAAAAAAGTAAACATAAAAAAATCACCTACACGATTAGTTAAAGCAGTATTTATAGCACCAGAATTCCTATCTCAATTATTATAAAATAAAACCAAAAAAAAACTAGAAATACCCAATAAATCTCAACTAATCATTATAGTAAACATACTATTAGCAAAAATCAAACCAAACATCCTTCCAATAAAAATTAATAAAACCATTATATAATAATAAAAATTAATCTCACCATTTATATAATAAAGAGAATAATAAAGAACACTAATACTAACCAACAATAAAATAACAGAAAACAACAAATTACCAAAACTAAAATTTAACTTTAAACCTAAAAACCCCCAATCAAATAGAAAAACACCTAACTTAATATGCGGTAATAACAAAAATAATAAAAGCAAAAAAACTATAAAAAACCTAACACATACAACATATAAAATAAAAAGGATATAACTTGTATAATACAACAATAATAATTTAACCTTTTTTCCAATTTAACTAAAACATTAAACCAAATCAAAACACATTAAAACACATAACTAATAAAGGGAAAGCATAATAAATTCTTCAAGAAGAAAAATAATAATAACTCTTTCCTATAAACGAACTAACAACTAAATAAACAGAATAATAAAAAGAAGCCAAAAAATAAACAAAAAAAACTAAAAAGAAACCACTAAACAATAAATACATATTACTAAAAACTATAAACTCAGAAATAAAAGACAATCTAGGGGGAATACCACAATTAGACAACATACAAACAGCAAAAGCAATAGAAAAAAACAAACTAGAATTTATAAAACTATTAAAATAATAAACTATACGAGTACCAGCAGAAGAATAAAACTCACCAATAATATAAAATATTAAAGTAGAAGTATAACCATGTGCAACTATTATAATCAAAGAAGCAGTCTTACCTGATATACTCATAAACAATAAAGCACACAACACAAATCTTATATGAGTAATAGAAGAATAAGCAGCCATAGCTTTAACATCACTCTGAAAAATACAACTAAAAGCAGCTAAAACCATACCTAAAAAAGCAATTAAAAAATAAAAATTAAGATGACAATAAGACAAACACTTCATAACACGAATAAAACCAACTGTACCCAACTTCAACAACAAACCAGCCAACAACATAGAAGCAGTGGTAGGAGCCTCTACATGAGCCTTAGGCAACCAAAGATGTAAAAAAAACACAGGAAACTTCATCAAAAAAGTCAAACTAAGAACAAAAACAACCTCCCAAGACAAAACTATATCAAAATAAACCAATATAAAACTAAAATCCATATTCAAATAAACAAATAAAAAAGGAAAAGAACAAAAAGAAGCATACAATAAAAGATAATAAAAAGAATTAAGCTTCTCAATCTGATAACCATAACCTAAAATCATAATTAAAATAGGAAACATAGACAACTCAAAAAGAACATAAAACATTAAAACATTACCAGGAATAAAAAACAAAATACTAATAAAAACCAAAGCTTGAGATAAATACAACATACCACGACTTTTTTCTTTAAAAAGAATTAAACCCATAATAAACATCGACATAAGCATCATAACAACAAAAACCTGAGAATCAATAAAAAAAAACAAACCATATCAACTAAAATTATTTATAGCACCAAGACAAAACAATAAAAGAAAAAAAAATAAATGAAAATTTCGGAAAAAACACAAAGATAATAACAAAAAATCTATGATTAAAGCTTATCTACCTTTCCATTGACAGTGAAATATACTAAATTATACTAAAGCTTTATAGATTTTCCCAAAAATAAGACTCATTCACTCCCGCTCATTTCGTGGTTTGTTTGTTATTGGGCCAAATACGAATAAAAGTGAAAAAGCCAAAGAGACACAGTGAGAGGTACTAAAGACCACCTACAGGGTATGAGCCCATTAGACTTATTTATCCTATCTCACTAAACAAGCTAAATCACAACAAAAACACAATATAAGAATAATCAAACTACATCTACAAAGTGTCAGTATAAGATAGCAAACTCATAAGACAAATGATGATTAAAATTAACTTGATAAGATAAAATACGATATAAATTAAATAACAAGTAACAAGTACCTAAAAAAACATGTAAACCATGAAAACCAGTAGCTACATAAAATACTCTACCTACAATTCCATCAGCAATAGAGAAAGAAGCTCTTTTATACTCAAATAATTGAATAGCAGTAAATAAAATAGCTAAACCAATAGTAATAACTAAACC